GTATAATGTTGATTTAATTTCAAAATGACAAACAAATATCCTATGATAAGAAGTATTTTCATTGTTACCATTTAATCTAAAGCAACCGCCACCTAAAACTGCTTCACCGTCAATATAAGAAATACAAGGAAAGTTACCATCTAGTAAACATAATGGAACAGATGGTTGATAATTTAGTTTTGATAAATTATACCAGGCATCCAAAGAAGACAAAACAAAATTTTCAATCTTTTTTGATCCATAACCTCGACAAAAGTACGTAGAAAATGGTAAAGAACAAGGAATGTGAATATACAAAAACGGATAAAGTTTTCTCCAAAATGTATCTTCTACCAAATTGAATTTATTCTTATCGCTTAATGTTTCATAGGTCCAAGCAGGTGCAAAAATTGCTACAGATAAGTCATATTTTCTAATTATTTCTAATGACTTATGACAATCAAGACCTCCAATGCAATTTCTACCAAATACATCTACTCCTACATAAACATCAATTACTCTATTTCCAGCATTAGCAACAGATTTTACAAGATCTTCTTCTTTCCAATTATAGTTAAGAAATATGCCATCACAAGCTTGAAATGCTAATTTATTATGATTATTTAGTTGATTTTGCCAAATAAGTTTTCCAGTTTCCATACTAACAGAATCATACCAAATCACTTCAGAATGTGTTATTTCAGTCTTTAATTTAGTTCTTAATAAACTTACTGTTTCTATCATATTTTCAATGTTTTCTGATTCTAATTCATTTTCAACATTAAAAAGGTAACCATCAAATTTATAATGTTTACATATTTCCACTAACTTATCTACTAAATGATCTCGTTTTTCTAAATTACTAAATACTTGTAACCATAGAGTGTTTCCATCAGTCCATTCTGTAATTAATGTTCCAAGTACTTTAACACCATGTTTATGTGCTGCATTTATCCAACCAATTGGTGGTATAGTGATAAAATGATGGCTAAAATAAACAAATGTATCTATTACAGACCAATTATAAAATGTATACTCATTACTAGATTTTGTCCCATTTACAAATCTATCATTTAAGTAACCCCCCTGCATATCATGACATATGAGTGTTTTTGGAAGGCCTTGATTAAGCAACCGTTTTGATGTTAAGAAACGTTCATGACATTTATAATCTTTGCCATTAATAGAGTAATTTGCACGATCCTGCAAATCTATAACAGGAAGGGATTCAGTCAATGGTTTCCATGACAATGCTTCTTCTAAAGATTTTATTGGCAATACTTCAGTAATTTCCATTTCTGTAATATCAAAGTAATATAGAAATTTTACAATGTTTCCAATAAAAAATAACTTACGATTCAAAATGAATTATCAATAACGAACGAACATAAATAACTAGACAATTAGATTTATAAAATTACGATTAAATTACAAAATAACTAATTTTAAACTTGACATTTTCAATTGCATTAATTGCAACTATTTATCTATTGTGTTGATAGTTGATAGTGTTGATACTTGATACACAAACATCAAAGAAAAATATTATTCAGTATATTATTATCAATATTATTTATGTTGGCGCCATAATTTCATGAGTATGAAAAGTTAGAGGTGATACGAGATAGAACCGTGGTCTCGGTAGAATTTTTAAATCAAAGACCGCAGTAAAATACTTTGAATTATAACTAAAAATGCAATGCATCTATTATGAATTTATGATTACAGTGTAGTGTGTACCTCTCGATATAGCCACTGAGGTTCGATTTCTATTTGACTGTCGCTAATAATGAAGAACGTGCTACTGCGTTTTTAAGTTAGCGCGGTTTATTTGTTTTAATATATTATAAAATATTGCGTCATATCTATACGATCTACATAACAATATAATGGAGTAAGTATGTAGACCGCACGACGTATCCAAGCAGCACCGGGAATCGATTTTATATTTAAATCTATCAACGAATTTAGAAAACATGAAATAATGTATTGGCTGAAAGAGTATCATTTGCGTTTGTGGTGTGCGTCCTGCGTAGTACCTGCTGGTTGACTTGACTGTTGGACTAAAAATGAAGACGGTGTTGAGATTTATTGATTGGTAGAATTCAGGAACGGATTGTACCATTAGGTCTGCACTCTGATGACTCGGGTCAACTGTAAGCCTATACCAACGACTGCATTTACTCTGTCCAATAAGGAATATAGAATATATCGTACACTCTCACATCATGGTCATAGTCTGAGTGGCAGTATGTCGTGTAGGAATGAACAGAATCAGTGTATTGTTACTTGTTTCGCTAAATTGAGTTTAGTTTCAGACTTATGTGATTCTAAGCTCAGTGATGAATGTATTGATTTTTAAGTGTACTTTTTACGTGTCTATCTGCTGTCATTTCATCTGGAGCAATATCATTACATTTGTAGGCTGCAGTATAAATGCTTTGAGAGGAATTAGTATTTAGGAGGATCAAAAATAAAGTATGTCTAATATTTTTCTAAATAATCGGAGAGAACAAAAAAATAAGAAAGAGAAAGGAAGTAACCGCTCTGCTGTAATGCTGTACAATATGTGTAGAATGTATCGAATGTACCTCATAGTAAGTCACTGTAATGGATATGTTTAATTTGAATTCAATTATAAATCATCGCAGATGAAAGATAAATCTTAGCAAAGACGATTTTGTTGCTTACATAATTAAGAATATTTTGTGATGTATATATTTATTGTTATTAGAGTAGCTAATTTATTTTATCGTTATTATAGTATTACGATAGATTCAATTTATTTTTGTGCTGAATATAACATTTAAAAATGTCATTATGGGTATAAATTAAAATAAAATAAATTAGGTTAAAAATTTAAAGTATCCATGAATAATATTTTTAAATTATAACAATATAACAATCAAACAATTATTTAATTCAAATAAATTATGATTATTGAAGAATCTTATGACTTAGTATTTAAATATCGATCAAGTAGGTTCTGAATTTACTAGTCAACTTATCTTTAGGAAAATGATCATAAACAAAAATTTAAAAACAACTGGCAAACTCACAGTTTTTATTTTTTGAAAATTATTTTTCTATTCGTCACTGCGAAGTTCTTGGAGCCTATATACATTTTATTTTAGATATAACTAGTTACAGTTGCAATAGCAAAAAGATCATTCTCCAAATTATAAATTATGAAGAATTTCTTAAGGAATTTAATAACACAATATAGTCTGATTAATATAGCTATACTAATTGTTGAATAACACCGTACATCTGAAATAAATTTGGACAAGACTATAAATTACTTTGCTAATTTAAAAGCAAAAAAAAAAATGAATTTTTATTTTTAATAATGATTTGGGTGAAACTATTATTAAATTCTATTTATACGAGTACGAGTAAACGAGTATACAATATGCGTATACATATAAATATGGTAAACATGACATTTTATTTTAACTATTAGTATTAAGTAGATTTGACAAATTGATATTTTATTATCAACGTCTTTATTTTTATCATTTTTTTTATCATTTTAAATAATGTTTTTTATAATTATTTATTTAAATATAAGTCTGATATTTATGTTTTGCAATATTTTATTTATAACCATATTTTGACATAATATATAATAAATATACTAAGTCTTTAATTAATATCTGAAATAAAAACAAACAAATAGCGGATTAGTTTTGTTTTAAAACAACACATTGGATGGTCACTACTCACTATACCCTCTTCACGCGGGTAAGGCATTTTCACCATCAACATTACCTTTGATTATAAGTTATGGACTTATAAAAAAACATTACGTACAAAAGCTTTAGAGTTTTCTGCTCAAGGCCCAATAAATGTATTTTTTCTAAGGTTTCAAGAATCCTATTTGTGGCACTAGCTTTCTATTATCTAGATTCTAAAATATTGATTGAATAACGTTAATGGAAAATAATTTACAAGTAGATATAATCTGGATGAGGGGCACACAATAGGCAACTCATCGTCCATGGTTTGTTATTCACTAATAGCTAACCTGGGTCATGGTTGATACGATTATTTCTTTATCAAAAATGGCTGGGTCCTTCCATTTCTTAATTATCAATGAAAAATTTAAAAGCATCACTTTTTTGTTAATAAAAAACTTTTTGATGTTGGCATGTCGCTAGTGTCATTCACTCATTGTAATATTGTGTATAAGTCTACGGTCTACTCTACTATCCAATCTAGAGTCCTGTATAGTAGTTTATGGAATCACATCTAAATTATAATAGCCACTTAGTTTCTAAAATGGAATCTGGAGAGGTAAGAAATTTAGTAAGTAAATGTTTAAGTAAAATAAAATAAAAATGAAAACATAAATATTTTATCAGTGCTTTAATTCTAGTACAATGCTAACTATAGAGGTTTATTTTTCTATGCGCTATAAGTTGAAATAATCACAGTTCTTTTTTCAAATTAATTGTTTTTTTTTTTATTTACTTTAGTGTTTACCTAACATAACCCCATTAGAAAACTTGTCATCATACCATTGGAAGCTATTAAAATTGAAGGGTCGTTTGGATACAATTACAGAACGTATGTCAAAAAGAAAAAGTGGAACATTGGAACCTTATACTACATACATGGATGAAGATTCTACAGATAAAATTGATAAATTCTTGTTAATGAGTCAAGTAAAACCATTAGAGTCAGATGATGATGATATGGATTTAAGTAAAATTAACTAATATTTTTATTTTAATGTAAATAAATAATTAATGCAACATGTAATATAACTATAAAACATATAACTTATATTGTGACTTCATTATTCTTCAATTTCAATTACTTTTTCTTCGCATATTTTATCTACTAGATTATTAAATACTTCAAATTGATCAGCAAAAACATGATGGCCAGCATTGGGTATAGTCTGTAATACAAAAAGCAGTATTAATTATTACTTATAAAAAAAGTACATAATAATTTATATTAATTATTAATAGCTAAAATATATAACCTCAACGTTTACAAAATAATTTTCTCTTTCTGATTTAACTTTCTGTCCAATACTTTTATCCATCCAAGTGTTTTGTCCATAAATGAATGTAATGGGCACTCTTTTATCTAAATATTGCACACGTTTAATCATTGGGTTCTTTGCCCAACCAAAACCAGTAACTAGTGACGTAAAAGCACTTTCGCCCCTAAAATGCATTAAATAAAGACATTTTACATTTAATATACATTATAAATTATAAGTTGGCGAGTATGTTTAAAACCTCGCCACACAACAATTTAAAAATAACCTTAGTCATTAATAAATATATAATTAATTTAATTTTTAATTTTTTGTTGATACATAAGTACTTATTAAATAATCAACATTAAAAAGATGCTATAACTATTGTGTTGTCTGTCTTAAATATACGTAACATATCAATTTGATATACTGGATTCTTACCATAGTTAAATTATAATTAATATCAGAGTAAATTTATACCTTAATTGATATTAAATTTATAGAAGAGAATATTAACTAAGCTCAAGCTTATTATTTTTTAATTTTAATGAATTATTAAGTTACTTATTAGCTTAGTCATAATTTATTTTAAAATAAAATTGGTAAAAAATAACTTTACATGATTTTAGTTAATATATATCCTGTTAAATTTGCAGTTAAGTGAATATAAGACAGAAACAAAACAAGCACGTATAGTAACTTCTGAAATATGTATGATTATAATTTAGAAATACTTGGCACGTCTTAAATTATGTAAATATTGCTTTTTTTAAATATCTCTTAAGGTACATTTTCCATATTCCATCTAAATACAATATTTACTAGCAGTCCAAACATTGGCGTCATAGCACTATGCTGTTCCTCTGTTTGATGCTGCAGAGAAAATATACTATAATAATTTTGTTTTATTATAAAAAAAGAATTAGTAATTTGTACTTGCTTGGTGTGGGGTAAAGATTTTGTTAATAAAAATTAAATTATTTTTTAATCTTAAATAATAAATCTTGAGGAACATTCTCCCTGCAGCTTCTAAATACCTACAACTATCTACTATAATATAATTAGGACGGCAGTGGTTTTCCACTATTTATTACAAAGAATATAAACCTTAATAGATATATTTAATAGAACTATTATTTCTTGCCTTTCAATGATTTAATTCTCTATGTGAACTTAATATTACTATGAACAACAATAAATGCATTAAGCCAGTAATAAATTACGGAAAAGTAAAATTAGAGTTAAAATATTTATTATTTATGACTTATGAACCACATAATTAAAGAAATAATAGTTAAAATCAAAACTTACATAATATAAATTTTAATGTAAATGGTTAAGATGATTTTAAAATTATTTTCTTTAATTTATTTGGTGCCATAATAGTAATAAATGTTAAACCTGCACACACTTTCTTTTGGTATAGTATATCCCTCTTAACTCTTAAACTTATAATTCATTGAATACAGAAATATATTGTTATTGTAGAATAATTAAATTTAATAATGTTAAATAAAATTTTATAGTAAAATTTAAACTGGAATGGCTAAATTATAATTGTTTTTATCAGAAAATTACTATTAGTACTTTGAAATAATAAATAAAACATACGTTGCCCGTTGAGAATTACATTGAAATATATACTCTCCAATCACAGTAGATTGTTCTCCGAGAACTGGTTCAAACTTTTTCAATATATCAGATCTTAAATTTGTCACTAACCATTGACCTTTAAAATTAATAAGCACACAAAATCATTTTAATGGTTAAAAACCTATTAACTTAAAAAAAAACTATAAAATTTAATTTACCATAAGGACCAGCAAATCTAACTGGCCACAATGGATTTAATGATTTAAGAGCATAAAATATTCCTTTGGCCCACCAAGGAATTTTGCTCTTAATATTTTTATCTTCTTCAGGAAATCCCCAAGGATCAGCAAGTATTAAATGGTGAACTCTACAAAATATTTTAAAAACTACTTATTGAATCATAATATCAAGGTACAGAAGTGTTATAGTACCCAATGTCTTAACACAATTTGCTTTGATACCTAAATATTTTCCCTATAAAATCTATCATATTTTTATATTTTTTTTATGCCATTGAAGAGTATACACAATATTTGCGTACATACAGCAATGATAGTAATTATGTTTAGAAAATTATTTTTTATATTGTATATAATTAACTGTCAGTATCGTTGAAATTTGGTTTTTTTTCATTCTCAGCTATATAAAATCTTAGTTATAATGTATCTTTGCTTTATGAAATTAAATAATTTAGTTATAATTATTGTCAATTAAGTAGGGTGCCGATATTAAATGACAGTGGTTCTTTTAGAATCAGCCTAAATAGCTATGTCTATACAGAACACATAGTTGGTTGCAGCAGGTTGTTTGATGGCCATTTAATGGAGGTGCAAAAGTCACGAGCATACCTGTTTAGGAACATTTACTAAAAAGTTCCATCCACATGAGGATCCCTAAATAACTGACAAATGGCAATAGTTGTTCATATTTTTCCATTGTACTAAAAATATTAAACATTTTTTATAAATCAATGTAAAGACAGTGAGGTAGAGCTATTCTATGGGCAATTATCAAAACCTAACATGAAAAAAGAAATAACTTATAAAATTATAAATTGTTGTCATAAATATTCCATCCCATACTTTCATATCTTAATCAGCACCTGAGTATAACTAGTTGCTATACCTTTCAGGATGTTGTATAGAATAAGCAGTAGCTAAATATCCTCCAAAACTATGACCAAGAAGAACAAATTTTTCAAGCTTAATTTCTGATCTCCATTTTTCAATAGCATTTACAAATTGAAGTTCCACTTGTTCAGGATCTGTACTAAATTTTGGTCTAGAACTACGACCAAAGCCCAAAAGATCCATGGCATATACAGGTCTACGATTATTTGATATTTTGTCAACATTCATGCACCAAAGCCCAATACCAGCACCAAAACCATGTAACAAAACTATAGGAGTTCCACGTTTTTCAGTGTTAACTTCCAATGTCCATATTTTATCTTCTTGTTCAACAACTGGGCCTAGGTTAACATATCGAGTTCGATATGGAGATTGAACATCTATAAATAATTGTTAATATTGAAATATAAAACAAAAATAATGTTAAAGTATGTATAACATACATGCAAATAATTTCCGCTCAGCTTCTTGTAAACATTTCCAAGACATTGAACTCCAAGAAAACCAGCTCCAAAAGGAACACCCTCTAAAACGGTAATAAAGAAATATTATACTCTCTAAATATTTGTTTTATGTTAAACTTATTCATATTCTATGAAAATACTGAAGTAGTATCTCACCTGTAAATTGATGAAGCCTCGTTTTCTTCAGTCATGATTGAAATATTTTAAATTTTTTATTGGTGCATTTAAAAATTATTCGACTCATTTGTATTAAAAAAAAATTAGCGTTTAAATTTAGACAAAAATTTTATGAACCGAATATTACACAATATTACAACACTGTCAACACTAATTATTTACAGTCGACTGTTTTATCAATAATACAATAATAATATAATTATATCGTACGTAATAAATTAAAATTAAAAAAAAAAGTTAATCTGTATGAAAACTATTGTCTATCTTATAACTGAGACGCATAACGTACTGTAATAATAGTTGAATGATAATAATAATATGCTTTATGTTCACACACACAAGTAAATTATAATAATTATAATTAATTAAGAATACATGACATATATTTTTTCTTAATGACTATAAAAAAACATCCAATTATGAAAAATGAAAATGAAATTAATTTTTATTATTTTAAAGTTGATCAATGTTTAATATTCAATATTCATTGTTCAATAAATCGTTAACACAAATTTTAGTGTATTATGACTATTATGTAATTTGTTATAGATAACAAAAAACGTCAAATTTTATGATAACTTCATCACAGAATTGATAGATCTATTTTGTGATCTCATCACAATTCATAAAACAATTTTGTTTTCTTTTAGATATAAAATCAGCTGTCTTTTTGTAATTACCATAGAATAATATTATTATTGTTCTGTGATATTATCAATATTTGATGTGATAATAAACTAAAAAGACACGGGTCACGGGACCATTGTAGTCAACCTCGGTTCTCGACTTATAAAGTTTAAACTTTAAGTTGAAGCACAGTTGTCAACAGTATCAACAGCCGTAACACAGATTAATTATTAAGATATATTGTGACATTATTAAAACAGTTCTACAAATCATTAATATTGTTCCATAAGATTTCAGATTTGAAACAAATGTTTTGTGGAAAAAATGATTATTAAAAAGTTTTTTGTAACAAGTTATAATTGTAAGGTATATTTATGGAAGCAAGAGCATTAAAATAAATATTAATTAAGAGAACAAACATCAGAAATATATTTTCACTCTGAAGTATTTTGTAGATTTAAAGTATCTAATTGTGCTGTAGAACAAATTTCGAACTTTTATTCGACAAAACTTATTGTTCAATCTCCGTCAATTTAATTCCTATAATTTTTAATACTTTTACTAGTTTATTTCAAAGTAATATTTAACTAATAATTTGTCATAAAAACCTGTCATACCCCCATATAAGGGAAACACTCCATAATAGTGTTAAATTATTTTTATTCTTTAATCAATCAACAGGTAGTGTCACCACTGAGTGACTTCTTCCTTCATATTTTTCATTCTGTAAAAAATATTCTTATTGTACCCTAGGGCATATATTGTATATAACGTGAAATAATATTAAAAAGTTTTTCAATCAATGCTTGAAATTGAAAATTTACTGCATTAGAATACATATATTTTATTTTAGATATATATGTAAGTGGAATACTTATACATGTATAGGCTTGCTATTCGTCCTGGTTTTAACAGCATATCCCGTTTTCCCGGCTGGTCATTAATTTTGTCCCCGTTAATGGGAACCGAGAGAAAATAACTTTATATTGTATCATTTAATGATAATATATAAAATAATATTGTACATAGTATAATTATATCATTATCGTAATATGTTATCTAAATTTTATCGACATGTTTATAGATTTATTGATTATTTATTTTTCTTTTTTTTTTTTAAGTATTAGAAATGTTTAACTTGAAACTAGAAAAAAAAAGTTATTTAATATAGTCTCCCGGTTTGGAGATTTTAAAATCTGGCAACCCTATTTAATATTTATTTAGAATGATACCACAACCACAATATATTCAGTGGATGTGGTTAAGGGTACCACACGTGGTCAACCTTAAGGCCGCAAGTTTTCGTGACGCGAATTATAGTGATAACAATGGAAATTTAAAATATTTATTTAAAATCACGTGTTGTGCAACTAAAAAATGTTTCATTTTATTATAGGTGATGACTACTGACTGCCCCATTGGTATAATAATAGGTAGGTTAATCATTTGCAAACATATACAAATTTAATTCATAAATTAAATCAGTCACTAACATTTACCTCACTGATTTTTTTTTCAAATTATTCGTGTTGATTTTTTTTTTCTATTGGACTACCTACCTATCTATACTATCAAGATATTTTGTTTATACCTATTTATACAGCTATGAAATAAAATAAAACTATTACAAAAGCTATGTTTTTAATTTTTATTAAATATTATAGATTAAAATGTATGATTGTATTTTAATTTAATAAATTATATTGAAAGGATGTAAAACTTCCTTCTATTCTATTTGGTTGGTATGTAATATTGTAACACAAGCTAGTAACGGTACAAAATTTAACATTAAAAAAAATTTAATAATTTTAATAATTTTAAAAACTTCAAATCATGACATATATTAAAATTGCAATTTCTTTTGGCTTGGCTGTATCAAGTGGGTTGTTGTCGGCGTGGTATACAAAACGACCATGCCAAAATCATAATAACGTGAGTGATTGCTGGATTGGATATAATTATAATTGTTACGGTAAATATAAAATAAGTGAATTATTACACAGGAAAATAGAGTCAACGCCGTCAATCAAAACATTCCACAGCTAATAATTAATTCCAATAACACTTTATAACACTATGGTAATTTTCCGAATTACCAACGAAATATATCTGAAGGAACTTATGATCTTCGTTTGGTTGTGGTAACAAAGCGCCTGCTTGATGGTGAATTTGTCCTTGAATCTGAATATTTAAATGGTCATTTGTAAAAAAAAAAATGTGTTATTATTACAAACGCCTTTACCTTATAACTCGGGTTGTAGCCTGGTTGTTCAATAACTTCTGCTCCAAATGACGTCATTTGAAAACTTCAGTTATATTTTGTGTATTCGCCAGGAAATGTTTTGATTGGAATGTATTTCCATAGAGAAACGAATACAATGGCTCTGGTGGTTGAGCTGCAATGCTGGCATACGATATATAATGAGCCGATATCAACACACAAAAGGTCTTTGTAAGCGACTACGGAATCGTATTCGAAAGCAGCGCGATTGAAGGCTACATCTGAACTTCTTCTTCTTATATTAACATGTTGATAAAAATAATACAGATAAAAAAGAAATAATTTATGGTTGATAAAGAATTTTATTGAGGTTGAAGAAAAAAAAGAAAAAAAAAGAATTAAAATAAGAATTTTATAAGACTTCTGAGTATATGATATTTTTTGTTATATTTCCTGTTGAAATTAAAATCATTAGATGATTCGGGTCCCCAGTTCGAGAAAATGCCACGTATAATTGGCCATGTGAAAAGCACTCTGTACGAAGATCTACGCCAACGTACTTGAATGTTTGACCTTGCGCTTTGTTTATGGTATTGGCAAAAGAAACTTTAACCGGGAATTGAAGCCGTTTGAAAGAAAACGGTAAGTCAGAGGGAATCATGGGAATTCATGGAATAAATGCAATTTCTCCTTTCGCTGGCCCTGTAAGAATTACGGCTTCTATAATATTATTTCGTTTGCTCCAAATGATGTCATTTGAAACAGAGTATTATACCGTCTAGAATTATCAAAGAAATGTTTTGATAGAGGGTGAGAATTATCAATTAAACTTTTAATTGGGTCTGGAAGATCCTCGAATTGGTGTAAAACAACTTTACCGTCAGCGCAGCAAAGTCTATGGGTTTCATCTTTCCATTTTTTTTTGCATGGCACTTAGGACATAATATAGTCATTTGTCCAATTTGAAGCGCTTTAATATTTAAATAATCAATCTCGGATTGATAATTAAACGCTCATTTTGACATCATCAATCAAGCAATATAAAATTAAATGTGTGAGATCAAAATTCATTTTTAAAATTTGAAAAATATTTTATTAGTAGTGTAAGACTGGATATCTAAACGAAAATAGTAATTAATAATGATCGAATTAAATGGAAAAAAAAATGCAAAAAATCCGAATACGCAGTTTCACATGGAGCCACCCGGATTACGCCGGAACGGGATTCGATTCTGCCTACCTAACGACGGGGGACCTATCCTAACAACTATCGACTCCAGTTTGAGTTGTAAACTACGACCGAATCTCGAGTACTTAAACCGTTTTAAAGATGCGACGAATACTATATAACACGTCGTTTAAGCGATACAATTTTTACGATTCGCGTGTCACGAAACCGTAAATCGCATATTTATTGTCATTTAGAGTGTTTCTGACGTATTCATTTACATTATTTAATCGTGTACGTCTTAATGACGTACCGAGTTTATCATCACATACACATATCTCGATATCACCCCCAAACGTACGCAATTAAAGGCATAACAACGACTGAAGAGCAACAATTTTGCGATGTTTTTGTATAATACAAATAAGAATCTGTTAAACCCGACGCGCGTATCTTTTTTATACACATAATAAGTCGTATTTCGTACGCCGTCGAGACAGTACCGATGAGGTCGCGGAGGCGTCCGAGGGTGGAGACATCGAAAACAAAACGACGCGTATTCGATATAAAGATAAATGATTTATCGTATCGTAAAAAAAAAAAACAGTAGTACACACGCGACGATACGATAACCGATCGGAGAACGCGCCGCGAGTACGTGTTTTACGGACGCGACGGGGACGGCCGCGAACGGAATTCGGGGACGCGAGAGACGCGTTTCACGCGATCGGAAAACGCGCGGACGCGAAAAAGGCGAAACCGATTCGAGCGACGTCCGTCGGCAGGTGGCCGCCTCCGCGACGGAGGACCGAATCCGAACGAAAAACGCGCACGGACGGGACGAAAAAGACCCGCTCTCGGCTACGGCGTAGAGAACGCGACGGAAAGAGGTCTTTGAAGGCAGGAAAAACGGGCGAAAAGCGGAAAAAACGGTATAAGAAAAACAAATAATAACGACGGCGGCGTGAGATAACGATAACGGCGCGCGCGGGAGATATTAGATAACGACGATAAGAAAAAATTTTAATTTTGCGATTGGCCAGTACACTAAAGTACGAGCATTCTGGCGGATTTTTTCGGAAGCTGGTTTTGGTTTTATATTATAAGAGAAGAGAAGAGAAGAAGAAGAAGAAGAAGAAGAAGAAGATATGGTGGTGAAAATAATATATACTCAACTATAAACATAGTTATTTGAACTGAATAGACCACAAGGCACAAATATCGCTACATAAGACACATAATATATTAAAAAATATATAAAAAATTATAGTGTTTTCTACGTTTACACTTTGCAGAACCAAAAAAAAAAAAATTTATTTTACTCATCCGTTCAGAAAGTAAAAACGGACAGCCTGCATTCTTCTGTTGTCAAACGATTACCACTTGGGAATTTCTTCTCAATCTAATCCCATACGGCCATACCCGGCGTGTTCTAACGTTTTAAGCCAGCAATCTATATAGTGGATTATTTTTACGGATGTGTTTACAAGGCGAATAAAATTGCATTTATTCTATGATTTTACTTAATTAGTAATTACTATTTTTCCACTTTGAAAGTTAGTTTGGTATTCTTATCTCTAGTTTTCATGATAATATTATCTATAGTCTTGATACAGTAATATTGTTATTCAATTTTGATAATAGCTCGCTATATTGAAATATAAATCTTAGAATATTGTATTGTTGTTTGATATGTAATTATAATTTACTAATTTAAATAGTAAATAGTTTTTTTTGTGTCGCACACTTGTTCTTTTTTCGCGTTATTTAATTAAATTTATTGATTCATAAATTTTGAACGTTCTTTTATTATGGATTCAGAGCAGTTATTAAAATGTTTGGATACTAAAGGTTCCTTTAGCACATGGGACTTCAGTAAAGAAAATAATATTGACCATCAAAAAATTATTGGTGTTGTTAAAAGCATATTGGCTTTGGGGAATATAATTACTGCTGATCCAGTGACAAGCAAATATTGGGAACTTACTGATGAAGGAGAATCGGTTTTATTGAATGGTAGTTATGAAGTAAACCTGTATAACGCTATTCCGTCTGATGGAATACCTCAGAAGGAATTAATGTCGATACCAAATGCAAAAATTGGATTCAGCCAAGCAATG